AACCATTTATGAGTGAATCGGAAGTTGACGTCGTTTTTTGGTTCGTAGAATAGGAAACTGAATAAGTAAAATGTGGGTTTCCTTGAAATGGTTATCCCACATTGAAAACTTAAGATAACTTATGTGTGTATATAAGTTGTAGATGGCAACACTTGGGTTGGGCCCCAAGGGACACCTCAAGTTTGTAGAAAAGAGGAGTTATGGACAATTGAATCTTGGCTCAAACCACCATACATGCGCACGCACCGCCGCAGCTGACTGGTCGTACCCGACGCTGGTGTGGGTTGGGTCGGGTCAGTTCTAACATTAATTTTTTGAACAAAATTTATTTGAATTTTTTCAAATTGTTGTAAGAAATTATTTGAATTTCAAAATGAAATTAATTCAAATTTGAATTCAAATTTTTTGTCCAAAAATTGTGCCTCTTCCAAGTCCAAATTCCACAACAGATTAAACTGTCCAAACAGATTTTTCAACTTGTTGCACCCAGACATATTCAATTTTTGCACAGAACAAATTCAAATCTGTGTTTAGACAGATTGAAAACTGCCCAGCAGTTATCTGCTCAAACAGTTACTACACCTGTTGAATTCAAAACTTACCTGTTCAGTTTGAAATTCAGACTTGTTCGGGTCTATGAAATCTAGGCCTGTTCCAGCAGTTTTTGACATCAATAAACATCTAGAAAAAATCTATTCCCTTTCCGGTTTTGCTTTTTCACTTCATTGTTCTTTATTTTAGTTATTTAGAGAAAATTCAGAGAGTATAGAACACAAGTTGGTTCGCCGTACAAATTGTTTAGAGTGCTACTACAATTTGTGAAGATCATTATATCCTAGGAGATAGATGTCATTTATCTGTAAGCACCGTAACGGGGCGAATCTGTCTTAAGGACAGAGTGTCACACACTCGACTTGATTTTTTAATTATTTATTCGGTTCGATAAAATAAATTCTGTAAGTAATTTATTTTTGTTTATTTAATTTGTTTCAAGTTATTTATTTTAGCACAAAAGATTGTTCCAACATAAATAAGTGGAGACAAACAATATGCAACAAGGTAGGGCTGAGCAAGGAATCCGTAAAATCCGTAATCCGATCCAGTCTAGTCCAATCTAGTAGGTTTGAATTGGTTTTTTGAATCTATGGTTTGATTCCGGATTGAAAAATTAAAAATCTGTAGTTCACGGATTGGTTCCGGATTGAACCCCATGGTTCCGGATTGGAACCGATCCGGACCGTATATAAATAGTCTATATTTTTATTATACATCTTCCTACATAGTATTTTCTCTTATTTCATATAAAACTTAAATCCAAACCTAAACTTGTATAGTATCTTCTTTTATTACTTTTGTTTGCTAGTTTTTAGTGTTAATTTGTAATAGTCTAAATACTTATGGTTGAACTAGTTTTCTTATGGTTGTTTAAATTCTAGAACAGTTTATCGCTATTACAAAAAAACATGTTACTATTGTGAAACTAATATGATACTATATTTATATTTTTATGAAATTAAAGTGTTATATATATACTTTTTGTTATTTAATTATGTAAATCCGTGGTCCTAAACTGATCCAATCCGTGTTTAAATAGATTGGTTTGGATTGGTTCTACAATTTAAACAAATTGGATTGATTCTAATTTTTTAAGATCCATAAATAACGAATTAATTCTAATTTTACTCCAATTCAATCCAATTCGGATCATACTCATCGTTACAACAAGGTGCATAGGCACACCAAAATTTTCTTCGTGGGTGATGCCACACACTCTAATGACGGCATAGCATTTGAAATATAAAAGAGGATAACATAGGCCAAGTTTGGGAAGATTAAAAAAGTGTACTTTTTGTCTTTTTAGACTAAAAAATTGAGGTTGAAAATATGGATGTTTGGGTTAACTTTTTGATTTTTTATTAAAAAATGTGTACTAAAAAATTGTAAAAATTAATTTGTAGGGAGGGGTTGTTTGGGATTTGAATTGGGAGTTGTGCAGCCGTAATTGTTGACTTTTGGTGAATAATGTTAACTTTTTAACTTTTTGAGTAACTTTTTGACTTTTTAATTTTTTTTAAAGTCCCCAAACTTGGCCATAGTCTTTGACTGAACGAAATGATGGGACTCAATTCATGTTATAAAAACCAGAATACTTGTGTTGCTCCATTTCAACAATGGTTTGCCCGACTCTCAATGTGGCTTAAATCAAAATTTCAATTAATTTTTTTTTTAATATTTAAATAACACTTACTAAAATTTTATATTGTGCATTGTTTTATGTGAAATTCATTTTCCTCTTACAGAGAGCTTTACTATTAGGACCTTTGAATAATGAGAATTTTTTTATTTAAAATTTGATACTTTGGATATGGATTTTTTTTTCCAGCCAGTTTTTTTTTTTTTTAAATTTTATTTTATATCCAGATATTTTGCACAAGGTGGAATGCTTTTCGGCCTTCCAGATAAAAAAGAGCTTTTTTCAATATAATTGAGGGCCTTCTTTGCGGGGAAAAAACAAGGCTGGCATCATTTTTTTTTATGGCCTTTTAAAAATATTATTATTTCTTTCAAGATGGGCCTAAAGTCGCTACTTTAGTGGCTTGAGCCTTGAGCCGGCCCCAATGATATTAGATTTTTTATATTGGTTGGCCCAAGAGAGTATCGGCCTTTTTGACTAAGGAATTGGAGCCAGACCAAGAGAATATCTGCGTTTTTCACCTCAAGATGCTAGGAGGCCTATTAGACTCTAAACCCTATGAGGCCCAATATGCAAAGAATGAAAAGTGAAATTTAATTACATTCAAGGAGACGAAAGTGACTGAATAGAAGGGGAAACTGAGCATAAATGTTAGAGAGGAAGAGAAGGAAGAAGTATTTTTTGAATTGGATGTATCATAAATTATGATTTTTTTTAAAGGATAATTTATGAAAAAATATAAGGTATATTGAGAGTAAATTATATTCATAAATAATTTAATAGAGAGTACTGAAAAATTGTACGCATAGAATAATTTTTTGGGTGTAAATAGAATCACCCCTATGTCAATTGATGAAAAAGCCAGGTTGTGCTACTTGGATCATACACCATGATTCAAGAGAAATTACTTTGTAAATTAGCAGAGAATAGTGTTATGTTCGTCTGTAATGAATTAATGTTCATAGTGATCCAAATAAAAAGAATTAATGTTCATATGCAAACAAAACTTGACATGACCATTTTTTGAGTTTTGGATGGTCTTAAGGGTTTGGCACCCCCTTTTAAAGAAAAAAATAAAAATAAAATAAATATAAATACGTATATATAAATAAAACCCCAAGTACACTGGTAGAGAAAACTTAAGGACCAAATTCCCTCCAGTCCGATTCAGGAGTTATGGGCCCACTTTGGACTCATCAAGTGATTTGAATTATTTATCTTTTAATATTCTTCAAAGTATATTTGATCAACATAATTTTTTACGGAACGATTTATTTGGTGAGAACTAAAAAATAAGTTCAAATAAAAGAATTGAGTCCAGAATGAGTCCACGGCCATGTGGACTGGATCCTTAAGTCTAGATTAGAGGCAAGCTCCATTCAAAACATAAGCCAGATCACCATACATAATTATATTTCCGTAATTTCTGAATACTTTTATTTAATGAAAAGATCAAGACGAAGGTGATATGGCTTGTGAATGTATCACAAGGTTTATTCAACTTCACAGGTTTAAAAATAACTAAAATGATTAATTAGAGAGTTGGTAGAATTTTTTTAGAAAATTCAATGGTTAATATTAATTGAATCAATCTGATTTTATGGGTAGTCAATCATACTTCACTCAGATCATGTGTTTTTTTAAAATCTTTCTCATGAATGTCAAAGTACAAAATTAATAAAATTACTTGAGGGTTTTTTAATGGATGTGAGTCAAACCCATCTCTTAAGACCAATGATTATATAGAATATCAAAAAGAATTTGATAAAAAAATCACCTATAACCTCTTGATAATTGGCATTCGTTAACTTGACTTGACTTTTGATTTTTTTGCATTACGTATCACTAATAAACCGCGTATAATGAATTCTTAGATGATTAAATTATAATTAAATTGCTAATCTCATTTGTGCAGAGAACCCACCTTTCAGCGTAAGTTTTTGTTTCACAAAATCACGCCACTTAGCAGGATGTTTACTGCTAAGTCTGATCTTTTATTTCTTTAATGGCTTCTTCCCTTTGCTTCACCCACCAGCATTGCCCAAAATTTCTTCAGGTTAGTATTTGGGGCACGTCTCTGGTGCTTATAAATGGGGCAAACATGTAAAATGCCGAAACAACCTTTGACTTTCACAGGATGTAATACTACTTTACTGGTGCATGTTTCTTAAATTTTTTCAAAAAAAATTGTACAAAAATTAAAAGTAAAAACTCAACTGCAATTGTTTAAAACACAATACTAGTAGACTCACATCCAATCATTCATGTTACAGATTTATATCACATATGTACTTTAACTTCAACTCAATTAATTAGTTTTGAGTTACATACATCTAAAATATTGTTACATGATATCATAATTCTATCTTAATTAATAGTGTCTTGTATATAATCTAAAAGTCTCTTCGTTCAATATTAATTGATTTTAAGTTGAATATCTCTAAATTTCTAACATAATATCGAAGACGATATTAACTAGTTAAAAATCGTTTCAAATTGATTCGGTATATAATCAAATTAAATTTAAACATATGTGAAACTCGTTAATTTTTTAACTTAGCTCAAACTTATTTATTGTCCTAATGGAAAGAAAATGGTATATCAATTGAGGTGACTGGCCATTGTGAGTGCCTAAATAATTGCCAATTTTTCTAGAAGTAAAACCATAGAATTCGACGACACTCCTTGCAGCACACACATCCCAATAGCCTCCTTTTACCACTTTTCCCGCGTCAACTCCTTCCTTTTGGTCACCCTATAAACCCTAAAGTTTTCCACGCTTTCCTACCCAACCTCCTCTAGGAAACACAAATTAATAATAACACTAAAACCATCTTCATATTCCGTCTCTCTGTCTCTCTCTCCACCTTCATAGCCATGAAGGTGCTTCCACTAATCTTCATGATAGCCATAACAATGGCTTTAACCATCACTCTCACCACAAAAAAGACCGAAGACAAAGAAGCGAAACCACCTTTCGACCTCATCGACACTCCAGGGAAGCTAACACCATCGAAGAAGGTAAGTCGCTTCCTGGCTCAGCAAAATAACCCTAGATCATCTGATCATTGCCAAAAGGACCATGCCATTTGTAACCTAGAACCCGAAGACGGGCACTACAAAAACTCTACATGCTGCAACAACAAGTGTGTGGACTTGACAACCAACCACAACAACTGCGGTGCGTGCAAACGAAAATGCGAGTTCACAGATGCTTGTTGCAGTGGAAAATGTGTCGATTTGGCTTATGACAAGGGGCACTGTGGGAGCTGTGGTAACCGCTGCAGCAAAGATCGCCTCTGTATATATGGAATGTGTGATTACCCTTAACAAGGAGGGTTCATCAATTCATTTGATCATGAGGTTTGTCATTCATATATATAGATTCGTATTAATCAATAAAACACACCACGTTGGTGGTTCACACAATCTTACAGTTTCTTTCTGCTTTATATATAATCATTTTCAATGATTTGCTAAGTGTATGCTATTAAAGACAATTTAAGTGATATATATGTGTATTAATAAATTACTTTTGTTAAATACCAAAAAAAATAAGTTACTTTTGTTTTGTTAGCTTACATTTGTTAGGGTTAGAGAGGGACTTAATGTTCTATGGAAGTGAGAAATTTTCATTGCTTTTGGGTTATTTGTGTAGTGAAAGGAAATTTGGAAATCCTTTTTCCTGTTGGTTATTTGTATAGCGGAAGGGAATTTGGAATTCCTCTTCCTGTTCAGAATGCATGGAAATAAAGAATGCCAAAATTTTCTTACATGTGCAAGCTCTATCGGTCAAAAGTTTCGAATTATACCATGTAAGCATCCTTATATTATGGGGGAAATTACCAAGCAGTAGGAATTCAAAAAATTATTATAGATTCATGAAAATGATTATAATTTCAATTATTAATATTTGTAAAGTTTACATTAATTGAAAATTTTCTTATGTTTAAATTTTCAAGTCTTGGAGCAACCACCTTATGTATTATGTCAAAGATCAAATGTGTATCCAATCCTTTTTCCTTCCAAATACACATTAATATGTAATAATAAAACGTTTTTATATTGGAGGAGGATCCTCTCCAGTTCAGATTTTAGACTGGAGGGTGCTGTTTAGGTCCGTAGGGCCCATCACGGGTCCATTTTGATGATTTGAACTATTTATTTTGTCAGGCATTTCATGTATTTCATTCATACACAAAATTAGACCGATCCAATAATTGTAACTTGTTCAATTTTTGGTTAAAAAAATAAACAAGTGCATTTTTAAAAATAAACCATATAATTTTTTAATGACTAACTCAATAAATTAAATAAGTTACAGTTATCGGATTGACCTAATTTTTTTTGTAAGAGAAATACGCAAAATATCTAACAAAATGAACGATTTGAATCATCGAAATAGGACCCGTAATGAGCCCCACAAACCCAAGCAACAACCCCCCCCCCACCCAATTTAAAATTTGGACCGAAAGGATCCGCCTCTTTTACATTTCAGAATCATCTAATAAATTTTCACTTATTCATCCTTCATTGTGACTATCATGACAATTAATAGTATGCTACGGAACTGACCACTTCGTTAGCCACCAAAAATCAACCGAAATATTATTATTATTATTGTATTTATATAATTTTTATACTTTGATACTCAAAAAGTAAGTGACTGATATTATACTTTTTTTGGTAAAGATTAGGGAAAGTGATATTTTATAATGCAACACCCACACTCTTTTTATTTATGGCTGATGTCGGATTCTATAAATTTTCACAAAATCATTAAAGCTGAATCTGTCATTTACATTTAATCGGAAAACTAAAATTACCAAATCGTAACATGTGGTTGGCTTCAATTTCTCAACTAACAAAATGAAAAGTCGGATTCAATTCTAAATTATCTTTACAAACGTTTACAACCCTAATGACAATTGACTGTTTAGTTTCAACTAGATAATTTGTATAAAATTAAAAATAAAAAAAAATAATCATGTGACTTAAAATTTAAATTATTTTTCTAAAGTCATTTGATTTTTGTTGGTTATTTTATCATGAAGGATGTATTTAACATCTCATCTGAATACTGTCCAAAAAAATAAAAAAATCTCATGAGCTTTTATAAAGGCAAATCACACCCGTTGTATAGGTAGTTCATATATTTTTTTTCTGTTAATTTGATCTTTTTAATTCTAATTGCATTAATTTCACTGTTGATAGAGGTTATCAATTGGATTGAATTAACCTAATATAAAAAATTAAAAACAAAATTGATACAATTAAATTATAAGATTAAATTTACTAAATTATAGAAATCTTGGATATAATATGTTATATTATTAATAATCCTTGCGGCATCATTATGCGCATCTGCGACATGAAATTGATGACAGATGCTAAGAACTCATGCTCCAAAATCTTACCCAAATAAATAATTTTTTTTTTTTAATAATTAGAATTTTCAAATAGGTTGCTTAGAGGTGTTTTGGCACAAGATGGAGTTTCAAAGCCTAGGACTCCATAATCAATATTAATCTAAATATGGTCCTTAATACAAGTTACATAGTGAAAAAAGTATTATTAGTTGGCATTCTAGCAAGCAAAAGCTAGCTCACTTCATGCAAGAAAACAATGTTACGTGAAGGATACAATATCAGAGCAACCTTGTTCACATAATACACAAAATTTTGAAAGCTCAAAAGATTGTGGATTTTTCCATGAAAATCGCATGAATTCACATGCTCTCTCTCTCTCTCTCTCTCTCTCTCCCCTCCAAAACATCTTAGAGGTGTTTTGGCACAAGATGGAGTTTCAAAGCCTAGGACTCCATAATCAATATTAATCTAAAGATGGTCCTTAATACAAGTTACATAGTGAAGAAAGTATTATTAGTTGGCATTCTAGCAAGCAAAAGCTAGCTCACTTCATGCAAGAAAACAATGTTACTTGAAGGATACAATATCAGAGCAACCTTGTTCACATAATACACAAAATTTTGAAAGCTCAAAAGATTGTGGATTTTTCCATGAAAATCGCATGAATTCACATGCTCTCTCTCTCTCTCTCTCTCTCTCTCTCCCCTCCAAAACATCCATAGATCACTAAAGCTGGCTCCCTCACATGTACATGTTATGTAGATGCAATATCATGGCCACGAATTGTCTTCTTATTTACAATCTGGTCCGAGTTGTTCCTTATGAACCAAAATTCTGGGTCCAAGCCCTTTGCTTGCTTCACCAAGACACTCACCCGTGAGGTGGACATCAGGCTAGAAGGGTCACAACCCAAAACCAATGCTATAGTGCTATGGACACCAAAATTACCAAATATTTTACCAATTGAATGACGGCTCCCTTACAAAGGGAGCTTTAGCATCCCTTTTAAAAGAGCGGTCATTCATAGGTACAATTTTTTGTCTTTAATCTTGTCAACATATATTAGCTAAATCAACAATATATACACACACTAGTAGAGGGTGAAAACGCATGGCATTTGCAAAAAATTTTTTTTAATTAATATTTTTGGATGTTTGATGATTAAGAGATAGTTTGATGAATAAGAAAAAATATTTAACAATTTTCGATAGATTAATGATATTCTATTGTTGGCAGTTACTAGATGTGAATGGTATTTTTTGAAGAAGAAAAAAAACGTGATAACATTCACCCAAATAGGATATATGTCAATCACACAAGTTTGCACTTTTGCCAGAAGTCATTTAGCTATTAACAGGATCCTAGTTTTTTTTTTTAATAAAAGAATCTCACTTACAAATCCCAAATAACTTGATCCTAGAAATCAATTTCTTTTCTGAATTCCACTTCATGGTTGTTGTTGTCATTTTTCTTTGTTTCTTTTCAATTTTTACCATCAAGTTTACCGAGAATGCCTTAGAAAAAAAAGAAAAGAAAAAATAGTCCCACATTGGTAGAGAGGAAGAACTTTATTAACTATATATAAGGTTTAGAATTAACTCTCAATCGCCGAGCTGAGTAACTGCAGCTTGTCACCCAAGTAGGGGCACTGGGGTGATTGAACATTAGTCCAGCCCAAGGAGTTGGTGCCGTGGTTGCTAATTTCTGGCCCGCCCTATCCAAGCAATGAGTTGGGCTACATGGCCTGAGCGAAAGTTTGGGATGTGTAGTCCCTAGAGTGGAGGGCAAAGCGCCAGGCTGGCCTCACAGAGCAGCGAAAACGTCCCTCTCATGGCAGTGGAAGGATAACGGGCCAGTGCATTCACGGCCCAAATCAAAGCTCACATGGCTGAATTTAATTGAACCATCACCTTTTTGTTTTGTTTCAAAGCAAGCTCCGATGGGCTGAACTAAATTGGACTAGACCTTTTATTCCTAATTTGTAAACAATAGGAAATTTGGTATATTTTTATAATATAGTAATTATATTTTAATAGCTAGACAATTCAATAAAATATAATAATTATAAATTAATCACGTAAAAATTCTAGAAATATTATGGTTTGTTATACATTTGATCTTGCAAAAACTTCAATTCTTTTTAATTTTAGTTCGTTATATTTGATTTTTTTTTTTCCCCTACAAAAAACTTTCAAGTAAATATTTGGAAAAAAATTTGGGATGGTTAATTTATTTTTTTATTTTAATTTTGGAATAGAAGTGTCCATATTAACCTATTTCTTGTAACAATTATTATTGTTTTACCACAACAAAATTGAGTTATGATTCAATATTAATATAGTTGCAATTTCAATATAATTGGAATTACAAATTGAAGGATGTTCTCATCTATATTTTCTCTTAACCCAACTACATTAGAATCAATCAAGAGTCCCAATACTGAAAACGTATTATTTTTTTCCAAAAGTCCATAATAAAAACCTTTTTGTCCAAGAGCTCATTACAAAAATTAAAGTTGTTTAAAGGCTCCAAATTGTTATTGCTAAGAAAATAATTTTAATTATATAATCATCAAGAAAAAATATCTTCATAGCTAAAAAAAAATCTTCATTGACTTTGGCTTCATTGATAAAGATTGTAAATAAACCCTCAAAAAATTATTTCTAATGATAAAAAATAAATTTTACATAAAAAAAAAAATTTAATAGATATTATTGAAATATAAAAACCTCTTATTAAAATTTTGCTTTAAGTTTCGCAATGTTCAAGATGCATTGCTTCTCCGTTAAAAAGCACAAATGTGTCAGAGAAACATGTCTCCATGAAAATGGGCATCCAAGCTTCAAGGACCAAAATAATGTTAAGAATAATGAAAAAGTTAAAGGTTTTCCAACAGCCTTTATTTATTTAGTTTTATTATTATTTTGAGAAACTTTATTTATTATGAGTTTACAAAGCAAAGTTGAGGGATTCTTGCCTTGTTGGCTAATAAACATTCAACCCCTCGTGTAACACGACCTCTGTTATTATTATTTTTTTAACTTTTTTTTTATTAAATTTGATTTTTTTTGTTTTAACAACAATAGGTACTCAAGAAAGAACATACAATCAGAAATGAAAAATGTATAAATTTTATTCAATTTGAAAATGACTCACACCACGTTAAGTTGAATTTATATCACACACTTTACTTTTATAATATATTACTTGATATTTTTTCAAAGTACATATATTTTTCCATAATGAATAGCGACTAGAGGTGCAGTAGAAGCACACCATACTTTTCAGACCATGTATTGAGACATACATCGAGAATTTGACAAGAAAATTAAATGAGAAAATGAGGAAGCATTTTTTATGGGTATGATATTATCACTAATATGATCGAGCTTCAATTGC